CCAGAGAGAGAGAGAGAGAGAGAGAGAGAGAGAGAGAGAGAGAGAGAGAGAGAGAGAAATTCTCTAAAGTTAATACAGGTATTGCCTCTGTAGACTGGCTGGGTAAAAAGTCTTCCAGGCAGGTTATAATAACTGGCGTTAATGTCACTGCCATTTGCGTTACATTGCTATTCTATCCAATAGAAAATGCTGTTAGATGACTGAAAATGAAAAATGTATTCTGATTTCAGTTACCTGAAGAATGTGAAAAGTGTTATTGTATCCGACCCGGCTATTTTCAATTATATTTTGTATCCAATGGATTATTTGCTTTTGCTGTTTGTAGTACACCGTGGCAAGAGATGATAACCATAAAGTAAACATATTAAAGAGGGCCAGTTTCAGTGTGCATTAAACTGTAAAAATCATACGATATGATGCTGCTGTACGCGCATTCCTATCCCACCAGCTGTCTATTTGGTCCACGCAGGGCGGGCTATTAATCTAGACTGCACTGGGTTCATGAAAGAATATTTGTAACAGAATTCCCCTATTCATTTCTTCGTCAGATAGTGTGGTGAGCAAGTCTTCTCGGCCTGTTAAAGATGTTGAAGAAAGCCATCCTTGTTGGCCTATTGGCTGCTGTTGTGTATTTTGTGGGTACGACCGTCAAGATGTTGGGTTTGCATCTACATTACTACAAGCATCATCCAGGAACGTGCAGGTAAGTCTCTTGTGCTACATTGGGAGAGTGGGTTGAGCTTGAAGGTTTGATGGTTGGAGGACGCCACTGGTGGGTCCTACCGCTCTTCTTTCATTCCCTTTGTTGTTGTTTGATTCTTTTGTCTGTCTATCTTGTTTGTTCCCAAGATGATTTAGTACTTAATATGTTGATTGTGCTCTGTTTACCAAAATACTAAGGATCCATAGTGGGTTGATGGAGGGCTCCAGTTGTATAAGGCGCCCGAGAACTCAGATGGTATCATGTTCAACCCACTACTTTAATAGAAGCACGTTGGCTCTTAGATGGCAACAATGATAGGCCCTTTTTCTCTTCTTTACCGTGTTGTATCTGCGAGTTAATCGTGTAGTAGATGTGTCCTTCGGTTTCGGTGATTTGTTGTTCCACCATATATCCCAACACACATAACATTTTTAAGATGCTAAAGGAGCACTATCTGTACATGTTCAGAAGTTTAAATCTAAAACAAGTACATCGGCACAGAGAAGGCCGTGATGTTGATAATTGAAACTAACAAGACGATGGACAGACAGGCATCTTAAGAGAAAGAGCCCGTTTATTGAACCCCTGTTATCAGCACAAGCGATAATAATTGTCCCTGTCCTTCAGACTCTTCGCCGTAACTTTACCGAAGAAATCCCACTACATTATTCGCGTTCAATGGAGATCTCTTTCCTAAATGGTCGTGTAGTTTGCCAAATGTAGTGGTCCACATTGCTGCTTACCTCACCTATCTATCTATCTATCTGTCTATCTACCTACTGTCTGTCTTTCTGTCTACTTACCTACCTACCTACCTACCTACCTACCTACCTACCTAGCTACCTACCTGCCTACCTACCTGCCTGACTACCCCTTTCTTTATCTGTATAACTGTTTCTCATTTTGGCTATATTATACAGGCAAATGATAAACATGTGGTCACAATCTTGGGCTTTGTTTGTCTACAGGGTCGTTGAGAATGCTGGCCTCAGTTCCGAGGACTTCCACGTGACGTCAGAGGGCCTTGCGTTCATAACATCCGGTGTTGCATTCGCGTCTGCACCCTCCGGTTTCATCGAATTCCAGGAGAAAAATAAGGGGCGCATACTCGTCTATAACTTCAAGAACCCGAAAAAAGGCGCGGTGGGGCTGAAAATCAAGCCCAGCAAAACACTGGATCTAGCAAAGTTCAAACCCCATGGGATCAGCGTGCTGGAAGACAAAACGAAAGGAGAACACCTTGTCTACGTTGTGAACCATCCCATTCCCGAACCGGACGCTGTCGAGAAGTTTCGATTTAATCCGAAGACGAACGAGCTGGTTCATCTCAAGTCAATCACGAGTAATGTAATGACGACTACAAACGATCTAGCAGTTGTGGAGGAGGACAAGTTTTACATTACTAACTTTGTCTATTTTAATGAAAGGTCTTTGGCTACTTTTGAGGGTCTGTTTCAGCTGCCCTTAGGGGGAGTTCTCTACTATAATGGTACCGGCTTTACGCAGGTGACCCCTGCCCTTGTGCAGCCCAACGGCGTGTTTCTGTCGAAAGATCTCAGGTAATTATACAAATAGTCTAAGGAATATTAGATTAGTAGATAATAATAGATGGCATTTTTATAGCGCAATTCCCACTCAACAGCAAGCTCTATGCTATTACCCCAGCAGTCCTGAAAACCTTCTGAATATATGTTACTACATCGAATCTGCTTTAATGACCCCCCTGCCCAAGACAACCACCTGTCTAAATGACCTCTTCCCTCTCCCCTCCACCCC